TATATATATATTATATACATATATAATAATATATTATATATATATATGTGTGTGTGTGTGTGTGTGTGTGTTTATTTATATATATATATATATATATGAGTGTGTGTGTGTGTGTGTGTGGGTGGGTGTGTGTGTGTATGTACGTATATTGTGGTATGTTTTATTTATTGAATAGTACAGGGAGTAGTTGATGACTCCACTGGTAATTGCTACATGCCAGTAATCGACGAGGAGTGCCTTCAAAGTTTGCAGTGATTACAATTAAACGGCATATTGGTTTTGTCTACCCGTGTTGATAGGAACCATTGATCTACGATAGCAATGCGCAAGCACAATCTTGTATAGCACGTGTATGTGTATTTGTTTGACGCTCAAATTTCTGTCATCACACCATCTCGTTCTCATGAGTATCAATTGGATCACAAAAGCATGGTTCTTGAACGCTCCTATATGTTGCAAATAGGTACACAACAAATTTGAGAATTCCAAATCTTCAACCGAGCAGTTATAGGCTCGTGAGAAAGACAGTATATGTCTCATTTTTAATAATTCGTGTAATATCACGATGTGCTGTGCGATAGCGATCAGAATGATATCCAGCTGTGCCTCCAGTGGTTTGTAGCCAGACACCCGTTAGGGGTCGAGTACATGGAAATGAACTAATCGGCAGGTATGCTATGTTCGACCCGGTCACCAGAGACGAGAGGATTGTGGTGACAATTTCGATATGTTGAATTATATTGCAATTAAATCTGCACATCATAGTCATTTTATGAGAGATGGCCAATCTGTTCGACTCAAAGGTTGGAATGAAAACCTTTGCTTGCCAGCTTAGTACTGGATGATGTTAGGCCTGTCTTGCTCAGTGGCAATATGCTACAAAAATTTTAGTACTATACACTGATTAAGGTATAATTTATTTAGAGTGCGCTTGAGAAGTGATCGTGTAGTAAAAGAACAACCTTTCCATAGACCATTGAATCCGTTTCGGAGTCCTCGGCCATTTCAAGGAGTATCTCTCTTATTCTCAGCCGAATGAGCACCCTGCGGAGTAAGAAAGGGACGTAAAGATTAGTACTTAGAATACTGACAGAAAGTATGCTTTTGAACTCGTACACATATGTAGGTACATGCGCACTTACTTCGCATATGGATTTTTTCGTTGACCAGCGCTTTGCCCAGTTTTCAAGACGTTGTCTAAACACTCCAGGATGACGTGCGCCAGCCGGTCTTCTTGTCCAAGCAGACAGACAAGGGGATCGAGCACTCCAAGACTAACAATATGCTCAATGTGCGCTGGACTTGCCCCCGAAGTGAGGTTCGCCAAAGCCCAGACAGCCTCCTTCTGGGTGCGGAAAGGCTCAGTGGACGCCATTTTAACAAGAATCGGCAGTATGTCTTCGTCGAAAACGAGCTGTACCTGTGGCGTAGTGCCTGCTGTGATGTTGGACAGTGTCCAGCATGTCTCTTTACGGATGGCAGCGTGTTCATTCGTGAGAAGTTCTTTCAATGCCGGCAATGCGCCACAGTTGAGAACTTGCTGCGTCTGGTGATCTTCGCCAGTTGCGATGTTGCCGATCGTACGAAGAGCTGCAATTAAAGCATTTCATGCGCGATTAGATGATATCTGTGCACTGAGCTACTTTCGATAATAATACTTCCAATACAAACGCTACGAGACATTTTTTCAACATACGAATAGGATGCAGTATATGGTACATAATAGAGATACGCACCAGGTGTGACGACGTGCAGGGATTCGTGTTTGAGTAGATTTACTAGACGCTTAGTGATATCCAAGTCGAGGACTGCTTGTATCTTCTCATTCTCTCCATCCGTCAGATATGATAGTCCCCAACATATGTCTATAAGCACTTCCCTGTATAGGCAAGGTAGTGTATGATATAATCAGCTTTCAAGTGTACATGAGCGCGATGATGCAATCGAAACTCGGGCTAGTACAGGTGCGATCATACGGAATGTGGTGCTGCAGATTCATCGCACAGAACTGACGCTGTATTGTACAAGTCATGCAAAAAATAGAGCACTCAATATACCTGTCAGCTCGGTATATTAATGATTTGAAGATGGGAAGTGCCTCCTTCACCTGACACATGTCCACAGCTGGTTTACCTCGACATATGTTTGACAGAGTCCACGTCGCATTTCGGAGTAAAGACACGCGCTCAGTCGTGCGAAGTATCTCCAGAAGCGGAGGAAGACAGTTTGCCGCCAAAATCAAGTCTCGATACTCGGCACAAGTCCCGGCCACATTGCCTAAACCCCACACCGCTTGCTAAAAGAAAGACTTAAGCATGAGTTGTACAAAAAAACTTTCATATGACCAAGAAAACGGGTGAGTGTACATAGCATTTTGGCACTAGAGATGCATCAGAGAATGTGATGCCAATATCATACCTCTACGGTTTGGACATCGTTTGACTTCAAGAGATGAATAAACGCAGGAACTCCGCCCGCCTCAATGACCAACTTGGCGTGGCTTTGAGAGTCCGACGCTAAATTTGTCAAACACCAGGCCTGTGATACAGTATTCGTAAAAATTGTGTTGGAGTACTAATGGAGCGCGCCGAATTCTAAACACATATCAAAGAATCTGTTATGAATTCAAACCTGCGTATTGCTGGGGGTTCTCACCGTTTCGAATTGAAGTCCGGGGAGATCATCTGCTAACATGAACCGAAGGAGATCCGGGAGGATACCCGTTGCCACCACCTGTGCAACTGGAGGGCTGCGCTCGTGTGAGAGCAGTTTTCGTAGTTGTTGTGCGGCCCGCATGCGCACAGCATTTGCATTGTGCAAGTTTCCCGCAGCTCGTAGGTCGTTTACAATTGCCGGAAGCAGAGCATCCAGTTGCTGGTCGAATGTATTTCCAGAACTCGGACTTTGTGTTCCACTTGGGGCTGTGAGAAGTTAACGTTAGACAAAGAAAAAGGTATATCATTACTATCATGTAACGAGTACAAATAGTAGAGAGTATAAGACTGCCACTTGTATTCTGAGATCGTTTATGCTATTGCCTTCCAAATATGACAAAAAAAACTGGGATTTGGTGTATTTCACTAGAGGCTGTGAAAGGCTGCATACATAGTAGAATACGAGTATATAAAAGAAGATGTGATTCAAGGCTCGAAACGAGTAGAACTGCGACCTGAGCCACGAGAAATTTCATATGTAGTGTATTGCTGTCCATACACTGCGCGGGATACTCATCCGAGATAAGTAGTTTGCTGACAAGAAAGATACCAAAATGTCAGTTACAAAAACTTAAGGGTCGCTACACATACCAATGCAGCTTATTTTCCTTCTCTCGCACATGGCCTGGTCTCTGACATGCTGTCTCTTTAACCGGACGGACCGATTTACATGAGCAGCGATTGCGGTCCAGTGAGTCGAGCTCGTCTGCCGAGTATAAAACAGTCAATACACAAGGCGGTCGTGCTACGATTTGAATAATTTGTGATCGAAACCAGACACTCATCACCTAGAAAATACTGATCCAATAGGTCGCCATTCAACTGTCCCATACACCGGACATGCGATCATGTGTTTGCAATGGAGGTGAAACATATACTGGTCCGGCATCATGGTGCTACCTTACCTGTCTGGGTGGAGCGAAAATCCGCTCAATATTTTCACCGCTTCCTGTTCTTGCTGGAACGTTTTGATGTATTGTGGGCAGTGTCGCACGCGTTGATATTGCCCCACTTCTTCCTGGTATCTCCATGGGGTGGCTGCTGAAAAGTTGATGAACTGTTGTCAGGGCTGTTCAAAATGTGTGTGCACTGTTAAAAAGTGCATATTCTAAACAAGATAAATACACATTTTCTTTTCACTCTGGTGTATCTACCTTTCTGAAGTCGCTTTGTCGAACAGCACGACAGTTGGAGTTTCAATTGTTCGTGATGCAGTATCTGACACTTTCATGTTTGCCATTGTATTTGTTAAGTTATCTGTACTTACATCCGCGGGACCTGTTGTTTTTGATGACAAAGACCTCGTTCCAGAACACATACTGCTACCAGTACCGGAGCTCCCTGCTGACATTCTTAAATGCTATCACAATGTCGTGCTTGTAGTATGGGGAATAGCCTTATCTATCCCCATCAGGTTCATATTTTTGATAGAAGTTGAGTCGGGTTGGGGTTTTCTTGAAATAAATCTCATGCTGTATTGTTAAAAAAGGTTTTTATAAAAACAATTGTCAATATTTAGATGCTTTTAGTGCCAGAACATATTTGCTAAAACAGGCTCTGGGATACATAAATATATAAATATACATATGTACATATACATTCCAATGCGACTTGTAAGCAATAACAAGCAGTAACAAGCAGTAACAAGCAATAACAAGCAGCAAACACCATGTCGACATTCAAGCCTCCTCAGGAAATGCCACCTCCAGGTTAGTATGGCGTAACGAGTAAATCATCTAGTACTAGCATTTGTAAGTGTATTCTGGAATGACTCAACAGGTGGTGTGTAGATATTTTATAGGCAGTGTGTGAACAAGCAATATGTCGACATTCAAGCCGCCTCAGGAAATACCACCTCCAGATTAGTATGGCATATTGAGTATACCACCAAGTACTAGAAATATAAGTGTATTCTGGGGTGACCAACAGGTAGTCAAGGTGTTCTCTACTATATTTCACTCCTGCCACCTTGTATCATTTACTACACCTTGGTATTACATACATGAGTACCTAAAAAGTGTAGATAAAATGGCTAGTCGCAGACGATAGTAACTATCTGCGTTTATTATTGTGCGCTTATACGTGTGACGCTAAGACAATACAAACGTATGGGCTACAACTGAGATGCGGAGTTGAGATAAATGATTTCGGAGACGATATTTGCATACTTCTTTAATTACAGTCTGCCAACTCTTTTTCTTGATGAGAATACTATATTGTACTTCCGGTCCTTTCTTGTCCAACAGATTCTGCACTTCCGTCATACATGTTCGTTCTGCACAGTGAGATGGCACACTGTTTTTTTGTGGTGAGTGCGTTCAATCTTAATTTATTCGCTTAGCAGGTTTCTGTGAGGATATAAGCGCTTGCAGTGGCTAGCTAATCAAATACAGAGTACTTATGGGGAAATATATACTCTGCCAAGTTGTGCTTGGCGCTTCAGCCTTAGACGTTGTAATGAACTTACCACGGCTTTGGAAGACAGATATCCCTCGAGATTCCCGTACAGGTGGAAGGTTTTGTATGTAATTGTACAGTTTGATTTTTATAATTAAAGGTGGCTTTGCTTCGGTCGATTTCAAACGTAATCTGCCCAGACGCGGACCCCAGGGAACGACGATCTTTGCTATGGGAGCAGTAGCAATGGTCGGTGGATTGTACTTCATGGGTCAGGAAAATCGTAAGCGAAGGTATGCTGCTATGAACTATCGATCTGTCTGCAATGATAAATTATGATGGATTGTGCAGTGTAATGATATTATATCAAGATTCTAGAATTATATACAAAATACATGTATGTATATATACCGACGCGTTTGTTTTTAAATTCACTCACTCACTCACTCACTCATATACATTTATATATATATATACATATATATATATATATATTTACATATTTACACATATATTTATATATTTGTATGTATGTCTGTCTGTATGCATATATAGATATATAAATATATATATAATTATATTTATATTTATATATATAGGTGTGTGTGTGTGTGTGTGTGTGTGTGTGTGTGTACTATATGGATATACATACATATGGATATATATATATAGTACGTATGCATGTATACTTGTAGAAGCACATGGATCTGCATATATCCTGTAAAAATGGATGCGCTGGCTTGGTACTATGTGCGATATGTTTTCTGCGTTCGCTACAGTGCTGCCATATTGGTCGGAGAGCCGCTGTATTCTGTTTGTGGTTAGGATAAACGCATGCGCGTTTGAAGTGGAAGCAGAGTTTTTGTTTAACTAATTTGGGTGATCATTTTGTTATTTACGCTAACTTGGCTACTTTACGTCAGTATTATGTCTGTAGTACTCGGCGTGCGGCTCACTTGGTGTTCTGATCTCCAAATTTGTCAAATAAAGTTTGAAGTTGAGCGTATAGGTTACCGACCTGTGGTAGAAGTATTTGAATGAAACACTGATTCGATACGTTCCAATCTGTACTGAACGCCTCTGTGCCGCTAGATTGAGAGTGTGTCTATTGTCGGCCTGTTGTAAAAATCTGGAAGAATTCCATTGTTTTTCGCCTCCGAATACTTAAAAGAGTCGTCCCAGGAACTACACAACTGAAATATTGATCCGAACTAATTAATTTTGCGCCGGCCGCTTTTATGTATAGTATACATCTGCCTCTATATACGATTCGATCGAAAGGTGTTTCACTTCTCATCTACGTGTCACCTTAGTGCGGCTCATTTCTTACTTCAGTTCCAATTCTTGAATGGTATTCCCGTTTTCTTGTTTCAAATACTGAAGTGTGGCATTGTAAAGCTTGTAGTGTATTTTGATTTGGGTCATCGAGGCTGTACAGTGCTTCTGAATTGTTCACGCAGTACTCGATAGATCATTAGGAGGGAGTGGATTTTGTTTTGAGAATGTACTATTGAACACCGCGTATTGCGATTTGTACACTTTTAATGGTTTGTGTAAATTCGAATGTGACATATTCCTTTATACTCAACATAGTACTAGTTTCAGGTGTATGCTCGAGTTCCATTCGAATAGGTCAATTTGAGCTAACGAACTTGTCGCTATTCGTATATTTCAATATGGGGTTTTTTTAATAGATGATTTTACCTCATCTTACTTCATTGTTTCCCCTCGTGTATAATTAGGAGACTAAAGCTGGAGAAGGTGGCCAACAGAATCGCCATCATCCCTTTGCTACAGGCTGAAGAGGACAGAAGGTACAGTAGTGCTGGTACAGTGATATGTTGTCCCTTCGCACAGAATTTGTGTCTTTTGTAATATTTGGTGTCACTGTTAACATATACTTCTGCTGTTTGTTTCGTCATCGCGGGGATCGGAAGTGGTATTCAACATGCTCACCAACAATTTGACGTTTTTCTCTAGATTTTTGCGTGAGAAAACGAAGTTCCTTGCCGATGAGAAGATTCTGATGGAAGGTGTTCCCGGTTACGTTCCAGGGGAGCACTGGTACCACACAGACCGATTCGTCCCACACACGAAAGTCGCAATCCTCGGAGAGATTCCCTAGACACTGCATCGAATTTTGCAGTAAAGTTTGCGTACTAGAAGAAATTTTTGCCGTTGTTCCTTGGTCCAGTATAATCATCATCAATTGATCAGTTCAGGCTGCATGTTGTGACGAGAAGCTTTCATTTTGCATCGAAATGAAAATCCAAGTATTCAAATAAACAAATCGGCACAATATAGACTACTCCTCATTTCTGTTATTCAATTAGTATTTTAGTTTAGCTTTTACAGCCAGCTGTTTGAAGTTTATATGTAACTGATCTTTTTTACTATAGATGCATGTACAATGCCGATGCATAACCTCTCGTAAATTCTCAAAACGGCAGCAATCCAATCATAGAGTAAAGTATATTTATAATATATACTTTCAAAGAGTAAATGTCAGCAGGCGACGCTGCTCAATAGCAAGAGTATAGCCCATTTTTATACAGAGGACATATACGTGGCTGGCGAGCTACAACATAAGCAGCATCAGCATTTTGCATTTAGGCCAATTTTAATATGCTCCTGCCATATAGAAGACGCACCGATGGTATGCAGATAGATATTACCAATGAAATAAAAGCAGCTCGTAAGTCCGCTTTATTGAGAAGTATACCCGCCTATTGAGAAGCCTGTGGTATATATAGGAGTACACGTCGCGAATGAATCTACTGTAGCGTAACAGATGATGCTGCTCATAATTATTCAATACATGAATCAAAACATATCTTTGGTTCGATAGAACGCAGCACAACATGCTCATTATTTGGCCTCAAAACACCCCTTGCGAATTGTCTATAATCTTTTTCGAGTTTTCTTTTATGAGATATTGATTTGCTCGGCGCTGGAAAGTCCCAGATTCAATGTCTTGAATAATTTCAATCAGTAACTCTCAACACACTCACCGAAGTACCATAGTAGATGAAAAAAAGCAAATATAAGAGTAAGATGCGAGTACGAGCAGTACATGGTGCCTGCATTTTTATGAAAACTTAACGCAACTACCTACAATCGTCTTTCCGCTTCTGTGCTATAAATTCGTATGCAAACTAGATAGTCCGCCGCAGCTTTGCACTCTCACGAATAACCTAGAAAGACAATAATCAAACATAGTTCGCAATAGCGTAACCGATGAGACCGCACACTATTTTCATTTGTAAGGTACAATACAGATCTGATTTATTGATATGCTCGGGCTGTGGACCGTGATTCCAGCTATATACAACAAACTCTTTCTCGGCCATCATTCTCCCCCGTTGCCCCGATCCCTCCTCTCACAGCAGAATCTCTCTTTAACACGAGTGTATCAACAACCGCCCTCCTTGAACACCTTGCTTGACCATTGCGCCAAATAAGAATATGCTCGCCATTGCCATATACTCTGCGAAGACAACCATTCGAATCCCGTCTAAAACGCCAATCCATCTTAGTAACATAATCACAGTTTACCGCAATCAAAGGCATATGCCCACCGGATTAATCTTTCCATAAACACTGAACAAATAGTGTCACTCTATGCTATCAATTTTGCTTCGCACCGAATATTGGTATACGATTTCAAGAACAGCTAGAAATTTCCGAAATACTACTCTTACGAATATATAGCCCTCTCACCCTGTGGTAAACCGAGCCATACCCTAATTTTACAGTCGAATCCCTTAATTCAATCGACCTCTATTTCGCAATAACTACTATTAGAATATAGTAGCACAGGCGCAGTCGGAACGTTTTTTTACCGTTCTTTCGCCATAATTACTTTCCTACACAACGAGAAGCATCGCTCGACTAGGACCAAAGACGTGTTTGAGTCAGTTTGTCAATATCAATATTTTACAAGACCAACAATACTACTCTCCTAGATATTACACCCCGCGATTGAGGCATTATAAGCACACTATATACTCGCTCTTTCACTCGATGCGAAGTCATAAAAGTCTTCATGATAAGATTTAATCGTCATGCACCGGTAACTAGACAACACTTGGCAAATCATCCATCTAGTACACAAAACACAAGAAAGACAACAAGCTAGAAAATGTACCATAACTGCGTATTGACAAAAATCAAGCCGCATCACTAAGTCAAGCTAGAAAACGTACCATTAATAACAAAAGCGACGCATTTTCCATAGTATAATACGTACATGTACTTATCTCGACAGTTGTCGTATAGCTACATAATTCACATTCTACATTGACCACATACGAAACGTCTACACTTTCGCGCTATATAGAATAACTTTTCAAGTTAGGTTTGATATTTACTGCCAAGGATTGAGCCTACATTAGTACTTTGGAAACCCAAAAATAAACTAAATCAATAAATGCGTCCTGTGGGGGAAAACATCATAAACAAACTAAGAATCGACAACAACGGTAGACACCCGGTATGTGTTTTACGTGCATGCCTATAGATGCATTCAAAATATCCAACAAGAACACACCTATGGAGAGTCCCCTAATGAACACCAGGTAATACTCAGCGAGATCATTTTAATGAAATAGATTAAAACTTCATCAAGTGAGGGTACTGTCCTTTCTTCAATGAGAAGGTGGCAGCCAAGTATGACTTCATCATGGGCTCCTTGGCGATCGCGCTAATAATGGCGCTATCAACCTCCTTTTGGTCGGAGACACGACTGGCAGCAGGGGCCTTCTTCTCCTGCAACGCAACGTTCACAACATTATGTATACGAGTATCGAGTGAGTGTAAGCGCAACAAATCGATTCCCATTAAATATACCCAAAAAAACCCCGCTTCCATGGAACAAGTACCTATAACATATATTTAAATCATTGTACCTTATCTCCGGTTGCGAAGAACTTCTTCTCCGACTTCTCGGTGGCACCGGTAGAGGGACGTGCAAAGTATGCATCATCGAACTTGTCAGCAACACTCACACCAGAGATGTCGATGGAAGTGGACGTGGCAATAACGTAAGCCTGGTTAATGCGACGAAGGGGTACTCCGTTGATCTTGAAGGGTCCAGTCACAAGTAATAAGCCACTAGCCAATTGCTTGAGGAAGACGACACGCTGCGCATGTGAATGAAATATTACTATGGATCAGTCACAAAATCTAGTTCTTATAATTTATACTAATACATTGTAAGAATCACATAGACTGCATTTCAAAAATAGAGTAGACCTCTATCACGAAATATTACCCTAATAGTATATTTGTTACGTGATGCGAAAACGTACCTTTCCACGGTTAGGTCCGGAGAGACAGATTAATACGGTTCCGGGGGTGATGGAGGCACGAAGCTTGGCAGCCTTGGCGTGCTTGCGGTTTACAAGAGGACGAGGGGTATCCTCGGTGGCGTAGAAACGGCTCTCCTTTTGTAGGGGAACGGTACGTGTCTTACCATTCTTATCACCGCCAATTTCCTTGGTCTTAGTGGTCGCAGGCGCAGCCTTCTCAGTGTTCTGAGTAGTCTTTTTGCGACGGTACAAGGCACGCTTCTTGTATACGGCGGCCCGACCGAGGCGGTTTACGCCAAAGGCCAAGTTTGAGTTTCTGGGTGCGTGATCAACCATGGTTTCCCTAAGTAATATAACGCGCAAACGAACGGATGTGTATTAGTATCTATTTGGTTCTTCGATACCTCACCTTGTCAATCGTGGTCGTGAACTAGAAGCTGTTATCATCAATATTTGATATGAAATGCAACGCGTATATATATATATATATATATATATATATATATATATATATATATATATACTAGCTACCTTAACTACAGACGCACAGGGTGACCATCAACAATCTCGGATCCTTTGCAAAAGATTCCTAGACAAATTCGCTAATCTACGTGCATTGCTTCTAGTTGGCTAATAAGTTATATTGCTTCCGGTAAACCTTCGATCTTTTTCATTTTTCTACATGACCGCCCGTCAATGCATTCGTTGACTAGGGTGTTGCATGCCTGGCATCTCTTTCAACTCAATATGAACCAAGGAGTAGTTATTTCATCAGAACCCATCGAAAATACATCTTACGCATGTACCGTAATAGTATATTGATTTGCCTATATGCTAAACATGCCTAACTGTTTCACCGACATCTTCGCCTGTATTTGCTAACAAGCATGCCTGAATCGTCTCCACCTTCCGACTATATTCGTACGAATCTACATTCTATGTCTGGTTGGGCGAAATCGAGTGCATCTTTTGCAGCGTTCACAACTGCTATTCCTAATACTACGGTAAGATAACCCTTTCGCCAGATATGAGTCGTGTAACCAGATGCACTATTCGCACTTGTGTAACTCGACATACCAGTTGCGAAAGAGGCAGGCGATCTGGCAATACAATCGAGTGTTATAATTCCCAATGACCACATGCACGTTTACCATCCAAAATACACGAGATATTCGGATTAATTTTTTTTTCCCTGGACCAACCAGGAGTAGGTATTGCAGTTGCTGTAGAATTTGGTTTTACGTTTTCCGGGCGCATACCATCGCTTAGTCGGATTTGGGTAAAAACAATCAGTACACTTTCTTTCCTGATCCCTTTTGGACGATGCTTTAGTTTCTCATCTGTAGTAGGCTTTATTCCGTATGTGACGAAATAATCGAATTTTGAGTCACTGGTCGCATGTGTGCTCTCAAATGGCTCTATATTAATGATACTACACGTTTCAAGCTATAAGATATTCAGTTTAAACAAACCGCTCCCTCTTTTTACTAGAGCTTAGAAAATTAGCAAATATGCCTCCTAAGCCCGACCCCAGCGAAATCAAATACGGTACGTCAACCTCTTACTGCACGTTAGAGGGCAAGTATATGCAATAGTTACACATAAGGAGAAGCGTATATCGCCACCAAAGTTTGACGGAAAAATACTCAGCACGTCAGCAGTGTCCCAATTACCACAGCCAACATCGATTGCCACATACTTGTGCAACACCATAGCCACGTATATGTGCTACACTATTGCCTCATACATATGCAACACTATGTCAAGCAACGAAAATGGATGCGGTTTGATTGCTATGATGACATATCGAATTCCTCGTTCCGTATACAGGAGAATATGCACGGCTCGCGCCAGCTACTCTTTATGACGATCGAATTCTTACTGAGCCATCGCATCGCATGTATATGTGCATTTTACAACTCGGAACTCTCGCATTGACATAATGCGTATATATAACATGATATACAATAACAAACCACGGCTTGGCATGGCGTGACCAGAACAGCAGATTGTACTCTTTATTTTCATTTTACAACGGCTAAGTATATATATGTATATGTTATCATATTAAACAGTCGTGCTTCGTGCCGTCGGAGGAGAGGTAGCAGCCGCCGCCACACTTGCCCCAAAGATTGGTCCCCTAGGTCTTTCACCCAAAAAGATTGGAGATGATATCTGCAAGGCCACTAAGGATTGGAAGGGTCTTAAGGTATTGTTATTTTCACATCAACATTTCACTGCATGCAATATACTTTTTCGGTTCTGATTGAATTATATTGGTACATAGCGAGTTGTACCTCACGATAAACAACTTTATTATACTAAGTGAGTAGCACTTTTATTGAATGTTTGCTGCCGTAATTGTTTGTCACAGGTGACTGTTGAGCTTGCCATCCAAAATCGTCAAGCCACAGTTCGCATTATTCCCGCCGCCTCTTCATTGATCATGAGAGCGCTTAAGGAGCCCGTGCGTGACCGCAAAAAGGAAAAGAATAGTAAGTTACTCACATGCACATATATCTGCCTATACTTCATACTCAGTGGGCAATTTTGGTTTGCTACTGCAAGAACAAAGTTGCACACGTGTAGTCGTGAGAATTATCTCGGTGTGCAAAATGGGTTACTTTTCACTTGTATAGTTATTATTTATCGGAGAGGGGGTTTGAGCGCTACTCTATTCATCTCTAGTTTAGGTGATTAATAAGAGGCTACAGACGACCTCTACGGGGTCTTACAATTCAATCTGTCCATCAGGATGATCCATACGTCATTCTGAACAGCTGAATCGCTGTGGAATTGAGGATTTTTGCCTTCTGGATTGTATCTAAGATAGCTGCCTATTTGATAATGCCAGTAGTCACATGCTTGTTTGAGTACAATATCGAAGAAAAATCCTATTGATTTTTTATCTCTGTTCTTCTTTCCGTAGTCATCCACGATGGTGACATTCCCTTCGATGAGATTCTAGAGATTGCCCGTGCTATGCGTGAGCGATCCATGGCACGTGAGTTATCTGGAACTGTCAAGGAGATTCTAGGTACATGCCAGTCCATTGGTTGCACAATTGACGGTGAGGATCCTCATGACGTTATCGACGAGATTAAGTCTGGTGAGCGCGAGGTACCTGCTAAATAAATGAACAGGTCTCTATATCGCCAATCTACTAGTAGCAGAAGTTGTGTATTTTTGTGTATAATATATATATGAGATACGTCAAACATGTTACTGTGCTATATATTTTTATTGCTTCTCTACGAAATATAATAGCAAATAGGTATGTCGAATATGTATAAATCGTCGCACAGTTTGTTTCCTTGATTGTGCAATGACAAGAGGCTGGAATTAATGGGCACCATTATGATTACACGGTTAAAAACTTCATCTTGATATGATATCGAGTAATATTGAGTCTAAAACAGAAGTGGATGGTCCCTACTAGGGATTGAAACAAACGACGTGCAATGTTCATATACGGCTTTAGCCGAAACATATGCTTGTATATAATCGCTTCAATATCATGCTGAAAGCCCTGCAAAGAGTAGTCGTCTCGGTTCACAAAGTATGTTTGTATTTCAACAGCAATACTTCACATATCTTTGGTGGATAAAGATATTCAACATATTTATTATCTGCTTATATTCTTGCAAGTCGTGGAACTATGTAGCGATTCCACAAATTGATTCAGTTCACGGGTATCAATCCTCAAGCTCCTCTAAGACGTATTTTCGTTCGGCTGCCGGATTGAAGACAAGAATTGTATATATGTGAGTTTTCCAGTCACATAGCATTTGAAACAACGTATGTGCCTCCGTCAGTATACGGAATATAAAGTTGGGTATGGGCAAGAATGAATACCTTCAGCTGTCTCCACCGGATGTCGCTCTCGTAGTTTTGATTTCAGAACTCTGCAATGGCGGGAAACTCGATACTTTTAGCTGACTGCTAGAGTATACTGCACAGAAACACGTCGAATGTAAAAATGGTACACTTTTCGATGCAATGAAAGACTTTTCATTTCTGATACAATATTTTCCCAATTTGTAGCTTTGTTTTGTATCTCATGATCAACGTATATCCTGAGTGTACAGCATCGCAATATATTCAGAGAAGAACGTTCACATATTCTATTTTGATTGGAAATTGCATTACGCAAACGACCGTCTCCAGGTCCGTGCATACCTAATACGTCTGAAAAGATTGCTTAAGTTGCGTTGTGTGGATATCAGCACAGCCACGTGTTTTCTGAAGGCCGCGGAGAGAACATTGAATTGTGCTGTGCTTAACTCATTGATTGACACTAGCTTTGAATTACACTTGTCGAACTGTTCAAACCTGTGTCAATTTTGGTGGTATGCAACATGAGTGGGACAACATGAGCCGCTTATTAGCTCTAGTGATACGACTGTACATGAACGCCGCAGAAAGCATATTGAACTGTGATAAGATTTGAATTCCACAAATCAATTTTGGTAGAATTTTTCATGATTGGGACGACAATATGAGTCGTTGCTAGCCTCCCTATGTACAACTGTCCATGAACGCCCCATACATGTTTATACTGTGCTGTATTCAACTCGATGATTGACACTAGCTTTTGTATTATAATTGTCAAACTGTTTAAACCTGTGTCAATTTTGGCGGCAGGCAAATGAGTGAGACAACAGCATTAGTCATTGCTTTACTCTAGTAGTACGACTGAACACGAACGCCTCAGACAACATGTTGAACTGTGCCGTATTTAACTGACTAGCTCTAATTTGCAGTCTTGGAGACCTGTGTCAATTTGTAGTATACATTATGAGTAGGACAACAGCATCAGTTGTTGCATATGTCTAGTAGTACGACTGTAGTGAGCTTAGCATAGAAAACACTCAAGTGTGTTGTCACGAACTTGTTGATTAGCACAAGCTTATATATATATATA